CCAGTGCTCTCCGCTGTTCTCCAGCCACTCTCCGGCAGTAATTAACTACCACAGGCAGCACTTCCCAAAGAGAAGGAGTACTCTGAAAGATGATAAATGCTGTGACGGGAAAAAGCACTTAATGGGCTGGCTGGACCTCTTCAAACTTTCCTCAGAAGTACGAACAAGAGATTCTAAGTGAGAAGATGGGTGAGAAACGTGCAGGTCCTGACTGTCCCGCAGTTAACCTTGGAAAACAGCAAGGCTGAAGAGACAGACGCCTCGCTGTGGAAAGGTGTACTTCACAGGCTAGGTTTCCGAAACTGGACTTGATTCTGGCACCTTTGGGGAAAGGTGGGGAAGTTTTGGCTGTGTTAGAATCATACTTTTTTAGTCAAAAGTTACTCTCGTGATAAATTTCAACCTGTTTACAACAGCATAGGAAATCAAAGTTCTTGTTATGCTGACTGAGAGAATCTACAGGGTTAACGTGGATATGAAGAATCATGAAAAATGTTTAAAGGCTTATGCTCTTTAAGCGTGTAAGCACATCTTTTTTATAGAGATGAGAATCCATGACTTAATTTTACTGGAATGATTTTTAGGCTCTCTAAATACTACTGTGAAAGCTTGTTTGTGTAACTGAGAGTGCCGAGACACAGAGGGCAGAACTTCGGCTTTCACATTGAGAAAGTGAGGAATATCTTGCAGGAATATTGATTCATAGCACTCCTTTACTTAGTGAAAACGTTGTTTATGTTCGTTTATACATTATAACATCAGTGAGCTTTTCTGTCCTCAGTTTTGTGATTATTGCCACTGTTAGATGTAACAAAACACTGTGAGAGTTTCTCCTAGTAATTAAATGCTATTTACAAATCAGGAAGCAAGGGTTGGAGGAAGAAGTGCTAAAACTTATACATTTTAGTGGCTTTTTCCACTACAATGGCAGCAGGACCTGTATCAGAATAGGACTCTGGGTTATCACTCTCACATTTGCTAGCCTGACCTCAGGATAGGACCCAGCACAAATCGTACTTCTTGGACACAAATCGTCACCGGCTTCAAAAACTGATTTTCTTATTGTAAGATGCTTTGTGCTACTTCATCTCAGAGCACTTTCCAGGACAATATTGCTTTTTGAAAATAAAATTAAGCTCTTCGTAGACAGAAAGAGTATTCCAGGAATATAGTTTGTGCAAGAACACCAGAAATTTGTGAATAATCTGAAAGACCAGTTCATGATTCAGTGTCACACACTTGGTTGCATAGTTCCTCATTCTTTAAACTGCTATCTTGGCGCAAGTTTACCTCCACAGCTGAAAAGCAGCCATGCCATGCCACTCCTGACATCCCAGTAACATATGTGGTGGTTTTGACATTACAGTTAATTACGTTTAGGAATGTTTTATAATCCCAATCTGTTCAGCATCAATCTGTGATGAATTGTTAAATAAATTACTCTTCTAGTGAATCTGCTTGAACTGTGGTCTTTCAAAATAGCTAACTGTGGGGTGTTTTTGAGCAGGCTGTACCCAGTCCAGATGCTGCAGATGTAATTCTATGGAGCCAGTGTCAGTGTGGGTCTTAAAAATGTCCAGGTGAACTTTGTTCCCACAGTGGCAATTTTAGGATGACGCAGCCTACAAGCACATTCTCCTGTAATTAACAGATTTCCCCAGATGAAATCATGATTATCTTCATCCAGCATTCAGGAATGTGTTCTGCATTATAGTGTTCCAGTTACAAACGTGTAACACTGCTGTTTAATCATACAGGCATAGGCATATATATCTTTGTAATCGTATGGGCATGTAGTGACAGAACAAGGGATAATGGCTCCAAGCTGAAAGAGGGTGGGTTTAGATGAGATATAAGGAAGAAATTCTTCACCATGAGGGTGGTGAGGCACTGGCATAGGTTGCCCAGAGAAGCTGTGGCTGCCCCCTCTCTGGCAGCGTTCAAGGCCAGGCTGGATGGGGCTTGGAGCAACCTGGGCTGGTGGAAGATACCCCTGTTCATGGCAGGGGGGTTGGAATCAGATGGTCTGTAAGGTCCCTTCCAACCCAAACCATTCTATGATTCTGTGATGTATCTGATTCTCAAATATGTGTGGATTTTTATTCCCTGCTTTATCTTTCTTTCTCCACTTTCCCTCCATGCTGCCCCCTTCTTCTTTGCAGTGCAAAGTGTAGATCAGCCTATAAATAACAAGGCTAGACCTTATCAGCACTGGTGCCTGTGCTCCTGCTTTCAGGGATTAGCCAGCCTGCTCTGGAGACACGAGACTCCCAGCCAGTGGATATAATGATCAGCTGGGTTTCTGGAATGAGATTTATTAGTACCTACAAGCCCTGGTGAGATGTCGGGCGCACTGGAACTGCTGACCTGCCTGCACAAAAACATCTTGGGTTTTCTCCAGGCCGGGTCCATACAACATCCCGGCTACACGATCTACTCCAGACATTAACTAATGGCTTAGACTAGCCTTCTTCTGCCCTCACACACACTAACATTCCTGGTGAAGTCTATGGAGACAGTGAATTTAAGCAATTGGAGGCATCGTATCAGATTTCAGAAAAACGGTCTCATGTTTAGCATTGACCTGTTGCATGACTCCAAGTGGCGTTTTAATCTTTCTGTTTAATCTTTAATGTTCTTTTGGCCATAAAAGGTACTTCTACAGATGAAAAGACTTGTATAAGAAGTACTGTATGCCATCACTTAAGCTAAGCAAGCAGTTAAGTATCAGAAGAGCTTTAGATAAATATGAAGGAAATGTAAAATCACTGATGACTTCCAGGTAAGTAAATAACAAGGGAGAACACAAGCAAAATTCCAGCGTGTGTGCTCTCTAAGAGATATTTCTCTTTAGTTTGTTTCTGAAAACCTAAATGCACAAATTAATTGGATACTTTTATAAAATACTTGATAATAATCTTGAATATATTACTTGTCAAAAATATGCATTTCATAATAATGATTTGCACATCAATGAAAGCCGAGATAGGCACTACTGAATTATGTACTTTCAGTATAATGGAATGAATCCTTAATTTCAATGCAATTATTTTTTTAAAACGTTTTATCAAGAGAGAGGGGGGGAAGAAAAAAAAAAACTGGTGAAAAGAAGATGATAGGACCACAGTGGTGTCCCCATTCTCACCAGTGATCAGAACTGGGGTGTTTACTGGCATGAGGATGGACAGAGAAGTTCTGGCCCTCTTTCGCCCCCCCTCAATTTCTCAGGACAGGCCTGCAGTCATATGTACACAACAAACAGTCTTTGTGAGGGCCATAAGCCCAGAAGAAAATGCTACTGAAGGTGAACTGGTTCATCTCATGCCTTTGTCTCTTGTTTTTTTTCCTGACGTACCAAACATTGCAAGGTATCTACCCCAAGATGTGCTACGTGTGACCATTATTACACCATGTCACCCAACGATGACTATACTGAATAACAGTTAAAGAATTAACACATTGCAAGTGTGAATCCCCCTAGCTGACTGTTCTGGTTGTGACTGGTCAGCCACCGAATGTCACTGCTTAGCAAAAGTACCTGTAGCCGCAGAGCGTGATGCTATGGGGTGAAATAAACGGGGCAGGGGGAAATCCATGACAAAAATGTCATGTGTATTTCAACTGACCTTCTTTTGTTTGTTTGTTTGTTGGACTTTTGGAACAAACAGCTTTGATACCATGCTTTGATTTTGGAATTAAAACTCCAATATCAAAGAAAAACAGAGCAAAATTACTGCTTTTCAGTTATTCACCAGAAAATTACTAGTGCTTTCAATGGTAAATGAAAATGAGTCTCCCTTAATTTCTTTTGTAGTTAAACTAATTAAACATTTTTATTTGTCTAGAAATATACTGTAAATAAAAAAATGTAATTTTCATATCCATGTCTCATCTTGTCTTGGAATTTATTACTCTGCCAGCTGTTCAATATTGATTTTTTTTTCCCTCTAAAGATTTTCCCTATAACTGTATTAGTTGCATGTGTGCAGGTATACATTCATACAAGACCTTTTGTTATTTATACCACATTAAGGTCTTATTTTTTTGTGTGCAACCTCTAGATTTTCTTTGATGCTATCAAATGTTTCTTTTGTTTTAGAACTGATACTGTTTGCCCAGGTACAGTACTCCTCTCAGCCCACTGATCCCCACAATGAGTGGGACAGGCTGTGCATCACTTCGTTTATGCTGTTTCACTCAGACTAGTTTGTTTTCAGAGCTGCGTAAGGAAGGTAGTGTACTTCCACAAATGTAATTACTTTTATAAAATACATTAATATTTCTTTTCCAGCCATTTAACAGTCTCATCCTAGATAAAAAATATTTTACTATGCTTGCTTTTCTTAGGAACCATAGACTTTCTTTTCCTCATTAATTTCTAGATGTTTAGCATCGTTATTTTATGAAAAAGAGTAAGTGAATGTGACACTATATCACATAAATGAAAAAAAATGCTGCAGGATTATTTCAGTTCTTACTTCTTCCACAGATGAAAATCAGGAGTGGCACGGCTGTAGTACAGCCGCTTGGATGTAGTCAGTATAAAGCCATTAGAGTGTGGAGAATTAAGCTTTTTTTGCAGCTTATTTGGCAGTGTGACAAAAGCGAGAACAGTCAAAAAAACCAAAGTGACAGCCATTCTTTAAGCATCTATAAATGTTATATCCAAATATTGTATTAAGTTTTTAGTGCATCTCTTGAAGTCTAGGAGGTGGGAATACCTCCCCTCCCCCCCCTTCCACAAAGTACAAAGGCATTTACAGGAGCAATTTGGCTCCTGTAAACCTCCTTTTTTTCTTTTTTCCTTTTTTCCTTTTTTCCCTTTTTTTCCTTTTCTCTTCTTTGTCTTGTTTCTCTCATTTCTCTCATTTCTTTCTCTCTTTTCTCATTTTTTTTTTCACTTTTCTTTTAAATTCTTTTCTTCTGGAGGGCCTCTTTGCTTTCTCTGAAAACCAGGTGTTCTTCACAGCCACTAGGAAGGTGTGAGAGAGACAAGTGCGATGACTGAAACGGTGGAACTGCCAACACTGCCAGCAGAGGGGAATTCCCTTATAAGAGCCGTCTATCAAAGCCGCCTTCGCCTCACCAGACTGTTACTAGAGGGTGGCGCCTACATCAATGAGAGCAACGACAGAGGTGAAACCCCTTTAATGATTGCTTGTAGGACGAAACACGTGGACTCCCAGAGTGTCAGCAAGGCAAAGATGGTTAAATACCTATTGGAAAACAAGGCCGATCCGAATATACAGGACAAATCTGGAAAGACAGCCTTGATGCACGCTTGTCTGGAAAAAGCAGGCCCTGAAGTGGTATCTCTGCTCCTGAAAAGCGGAGCTGACCCAAGCCTGCAAGATCACTCCAATTGTTCTGCACTTGTGTATGCAATAAACTCTGAAGACAAAGAAACCCTGAAAGTTCTTCTTAATGCCTGCAAGGCGCAAGGGAAAGAAGTCATCATCATCACAACAGACAAATCCCCGTCGGGAAGGCAGAAAACGAAGCAGTACCTACATGTGCCTCCTGCAGACCTTGAGGAATGCCATTCCTCAACTGCTTGCACTTCCCCATCAGAAATAGAACTCAAAACGTCTCCATCCCCACTTTCAAGTTCAAATGAAACTCAGAAAGCACTCTTCAGCTTTAAAGAGCTGGATCATCCACGAAACGTGGACAACTCATCTCAAACAGTTTCAGCAACGACAAAATCCAGCTCAACAAAAGCAGAGTCCAAGCTGGCACAAATGCCGCGGCTGCAGTCTGAGCCTTGGATAAAGAGCTCTCCGTCACTGTTTCACCAGAATAAAATTACATCTTTACAAGAAGAACTTCAGGATATTACTCCAGAAGAAGAGCTGTCTTTTAAAGTCAACGGCCTTGCCATATCAAAGAGATTCATCACCAGGCACCAAAGTATTGACATAAAAGACACTGCTCCTTTATTGAAAACCTTTGATCAAACTGGATCAAGGAAATTATCATACGATGAGATAAACTCGCAGACTTCTTATGCTGAAGAGAAACATAACCCCAGTGGCATTCCTATCGGTAAGGATGCCAGTTCGGGACAAATCAGCTTTATTTCAAACCTCAGCAGTATTATCCAGAAAAGAAATCTAGGAGCAAATCACTACAGCTCCGATTCTCAGTTAACTGCTAGTCTAAGTCCTGCTGCTGCAGAAGATAGTAAGTCAGTGATAGGAAAGAAAAAGATTCTTTCCCCATCTCACTCCTTGTTACCAAGTTCTAGAGAAGTACTGGACAACATGGCTCCTGTTACCCTGAGCAGGAGAAATCAACCTTTTCTAGAAAGACGGGGTTCAGGAGCCTTACTGTTGGATCATATTGCTCAGACAAGACCAGGTTTTCTTCCACCGCTGAATCCTCACCCCCCAGTTCCAGATATTTCTTTCATAAACAGGGTGTCTGGGATGATTTCTTGTGGACAAAAACACCTAGTACCAGCAGCACCTGCTTTCCTTAGGGAGACCAAAAATACGAAAATGCTACTGAGGCGGCAGTCATTACAGATGGAGCAGATTAAGCAACTGGTGAATTTGTAACGGGATTAAAGGGTTATGAAACCTTTATGTTATGTACATATTCACTGCACTACCTGATGGTGATGATACATATCGTGAAAGACAGGTCTGTGATTTAAGGCTCTCTGCCTTGGAATGAGTTTAATAGCTTAAAGACTACATGAAAATATGTGCTTAAGTAAATGATGTTGCTTTCTGAAAACTGAAGATCATTTATTAATCTGCTTTCATAATGTTTTCAGCTTCAGCACTGAAATCTTAGCTGTGACAGGCTAAACCCACAGAGCGTCTTAAGCATGGCAGTTCTCGTGTTAGGTTGCAAATACTATCCCTCCAAGGCTTCACCAAACACATACTCTTTCTGCACCCAGCAAGGTGGTACATGTGGAGTTTGGGAACTTGAAACATTTGACTGTGATGCTGGACATCAGACTGACTCTGTCCAAGTTTTGCAATATCCAGAAATCCCACACACAGCCGGTGTGCCCAAAGGGTGGGTAGTGGTAGGTGTACATAGGCAGTGTCTTCTGGCTTCAGTGGCTTTGCTGCACGTCAATGGACAACACAAAATGGATGTTGCAGAGCTGTGCTGCACGCACAGCTACGCCAGTGAAATCCCAGCTGAAGACTGGGAGCCTGCGTTAGACACTGTGCTGCCCATGGGAAGTCAGTCCGATACACAGAGCACTGGGAGCTCCAGCTCAGCACATGACACCTGGGACTGGCAAGATGCTGGCACAGTAAGCAAGAAGTCCTGAGTAAGGTTGTGTAAAATGACAAAACCCTGTTCACCCTGTCAATGAGGCATGTCAGTCAACTTGGGCTTCTCAAGCTGTTTGATTGCTGGAATCTGCTAATTTAAAAAGAGGAAGGGTGAGGGGAGGCAGAGGCTGTATTTGAGTTAGGGTCCACTACTTTCTGTAGTTCCAAATTCTCAAAAAACCAAATCTCCAGGTCATGCAGGAGCAATTTCTACCCTGTCACAGGCCTGGGTTTCTTCTCAAGACAGGACACAGATGGTGGGACACATCCAGTTGTTGTCTTGATCAGTGAGGACATGTCACACGTGCTTGGGAGCCAGGAAGAGCTCTGTCCTCCTGCTCAGACAGACCTAAAAAAAAAAAAAAAATCTGACCACTACGATACTCACTGGGGAGCTGGAAGTCCTCTTTCTGCCTAACTTGAAGTAGAGGACTGAATTTCTTACAGATGAGAAATATGCCTTTACCTCTAAGCTAGTGCATATTTTTAACTATCTCTATCTAAAATCTCTTTTTCCTTCCCGTTTGGTGTTCTGTGATTCCAAACATCTGCCTTGTCTTTGTGCATGTTCCATGGATGCTTGATTTCTGCTATCACATTTAGCATTTTGTAACTCGCCTTCTAAAGACTGAGAAATACTGAATGTGTTCTGTTTTGTCACAATTTACAGAAGTTAATTGCATTGAAATTGTGTCTGTATAATGTGAATTGCTGTATACTGAGATACTTTTTTCCTGCAAATACACAGTGGGTACTATTTGTCTTCTCGCAGCTTCAGGTAAAATTCACCCAGTCTCACACTGCCTAACAAGTAACTGTAATGTTATTTAGCGTTGCCCTTAGTATAGGACAGTTTCAAGTGGATGATAAACATACAGTCTCTGTAAATACCTCTTCATGTAATAATATTAAAATGTCCAAAAGTTTCTAATATGCATATTTTGAAGAAAGGAACATGTGACATCTGGAAAGTAAAGGAGTGTGGTTTACATCTCTACACAACTGAGTTGTACATGAAGTGCCAATCTGAAACTACAGATGTAAATCTTGAAATAAATTTTGCGACAAAATCTCTCCAGTCACTAGTGACAACTGCTAGAAGGCAGATGATCTTACCATTGATCCCCATCCAAGCTCTCAAAGGTAGCCAGAATAAGCAAAGATGCAAATTTGTATCACAGTTGTCAAAATTAATTCTTCCCCACAAAATATCCGTCTTGAAAACTTTGCCCTCCCAGGATGTGCAGCATCCTGGTGACCACCGGGAAGGCCCACCAGGCGCTGCGCTACGCTATCACATCTGACTTCCTTGGACGCAACTGTCACACTTGTTTAGCTTCTCACCCCTCAAGAGCAATCAGTGCCAGTCACAAAAATGCTGTTTTTTTTTTTTTTTTAAATAGAGATGGACTGTTCATCGAGTGGAACACTCTTGGTGATTTATGGACTGTCAAACTCTGGTCTCTGCACGCACACAAACAAAAAGTGTTCACTATGTTAAAAAAATCCAAACACCTGAGTTTGCACATTGAGCATCCAACATTGAGAAGGTTCCAAAAGTGAAGTTATGTACCTCTTAAGAGGTATTAAATACTGGTGGAAACATGGTGAATGTGATGGGAGTATTTGGTTCCATTCAGGTTCTGCTTCTTACTTCAGGAGATGCTGCTGGATCAGCATCTGCATCTACCAGGTAGAAACAAGGATTACATCTTTTTATGGCAGAGAAATTATGTGGAACAATGTATGTCAGGATTAAATTACTAACTGGGTACAAATCAGTCCCTACAAACACCACACACAGACGCAATATACTTTTCAAATGTTTTTGTGATATAAATGGGAACAGCAATTTTCTAGTCTTTTATAGCGAATTTAAATATTTGAAGCTAAAAATACATCTTAAAATACAAATTCTTTCTTTCAACCGATCAGATGTTCTAACTGGTATCTTTGCTGAAGGTATAAAGCCCAATTTCTGCTGTATTGATTTTAAAATTAATTACGTGTATGGGATTACCACTCTCTCAATTGAAACAGTAAGTTTTTACAAAATGATCAGTGGTGGAAAATGGCAAACGTTCTGAGAAGTGAAGTTCTTCTGTAGTGTTGCCAGGATTTTGTGCTTAATTTTGATGCAGAATATGAAAGGTTAGCATGTGATTAATGTTTATTATTGCATCAATGTTACAAGTGATCTTCAAAGGAAAAACAGCTCAGTCTTGTTCTCTTGATGTTGTAATGATGCATAAACAAAAGTTATTTTTTCCCCATTCAGGGAATATGGAAATAGACACATCCTTTTATTCACCACTTACAAGACACTGAGTCACTACCAAAGGTACTCGCTCATAGTGTTTCTCAGGCTGTCTCTACATAGGAAAATTGGAACAGTTAATTAGATTTAATCCAACACAGCTAAATTTGTACAAAGTACTGTGTGAGAGAGGCTCTTCTTGTCTGTCGGTAGCTCACTGTGGTTCCACTTCAGTAGAGAGGCTACACTTCTGCCATCTTTGAAGTCTTAATCCTCATCATTTTCCAGTCATCCGTAATGTCTTTAAGCAAAGAATGGGAAGCAAGACCTGAATTTCTAATGTTAAATTCCTCCCCCTGCCCCCCCAAAACATTAAAGTTTACAAACAACAAAATACCTTTCAGCGTTATTACCTGTGGCTTCCCATCCAGAGAGAACCACCTGGACTGGCTGCTGACACCTTACAGTGAGAGGACAGTGAAGCTCGTCCACTCTTAACTTACAGAAAGGTTAATGGAGTAAATTCCTTAAACATTCATGTTTTAAACTATATAAAATGGAAGTGGCATTTCTGTGAGCAAGCATTCCTGTCAACACACGCTACTGCTTTCAGTAAAACACACTACCTATACAATTACTCATTTTGAATCTACGAGAGACTTTTAGAAAGCTGGAAAATATTTTTCTACTTTTCAATTTTCTCTGCAAAATGCTGTGAAACCACACAATGAAAGTAACTTATAGTGGTGGCTGTACAAAGAACTGTGATCACCTAAAAAACTTCATATTTTGGTTTTATAAATTTAGTAACTGCAAGTGACTGCACAAGAATGCTGAAAAAAGCGGTTTTCAAGGCTGTGTTTAAGGAACGGTGTTCAAATTACAGTTTTCAAAGTGCCATTCCTTGCACTTTTTGTTTGCTTTTGCTTTAAGGAGAAAGGCATATGGAGTTGCTTTGTTTTGATTTTTGTCTCTTGCAATTACACAGCACTTCCAAAAGAATACTGACAATTTGATGCACCTACACAAGAGAAATAATAAACTAAAACAGTCATTAAATTCTTTTATTTTCTCATCAATCCTTAATAATACTTTAATCTTTCTGCATCGGTTATGCAGTACAACTAATTAATTTTCCAACCAAAATCACGCATTTATACATAAATGGATTCTTGCATTAGTAAACCATTACTCCATTAGTTCGCTGTTTTGCTCGTGGAACAAAAGCAGGGCTTGTTACAGGAAGGCCAACATTAGTCACAACCAACCATCCTACTAAAAACATTAATACTATATTCATAAAAGGGACAAGTAAGGGTTTTTTATCTCTAATGTTGAAATCCAGAATTGGAGGAATGCCTGTAGTAAAATGTTTTGAAACATTTCCCAGCCACACATTTTCACCTTAAAAGTATTACAGGCACTGAAATACCTTCAAGGAGATCAGGTTCAATATGGGAACATCTCAACAAAACTCAGGGGTTTATTTTCAGAGTGAAAGGGATGAAATTCCAATTTTTATGACTAACTGTTCTGAGAAAATACCCAGCTATTAATACTTTTTAAAAGCGAGTAGGTCTTACACTCCTTTACACAAGTTAACCTTATTTTAAGATAATCGTATATATAAAATTCCTGCAAAATTCCCGTTGTTCAGAGGACTCCCGTTACCTGAGGCAGGCGTCTCCTTGGCTGATGATGTGCGTAGCTGGCTGAATGCAAGCACAGACCTCCTTGGAAAGTCCTCGACTTTAGCTTTTCACACAACTGAAACGTAAACCTGCTTCTGTTTGCTGGTACAGAATGGGCAACAGAACCCGAGGGCTGCGACTAGGGACCGAGGCAATCTGGTGACACGAGCGGCTGAGTTACTTTACACAAATTGTTTACTTAAATTCCTTGCAAGCATCTGTTAAAGCTCACCAAAGATGCAAGTAAATTTCTGATAACCAAACTATAGGAATTACAGAAGAATTACTCACAACTCCTTCTGCATCCATAT